CCCAGAGATTGGCTTAGCAGGAAGACCCTGGGGAAAGAGAGAGCGGGTGGAGCAGAGAGGCCGATTTAGAGGCCGAGTCTTTATACCGAAGTGTTGGTGCCATAGGGGCACAGGAGGGAGTGAGTGCTGTCAGTGGGGGCAAGGAGGGGCAGCTCCCCCTGTGATCCTAACCCTAACCCACATAGGGAACCTTCAGGGCCCATCATGGGGGCCCAAGCACACGAAGGTGTCTGCGCTCTGTGCCCTCGCTGAGCAGTGCAAGTCAGGGCCCAGGGGCTCCTCTGAGGAGGGGAAGCCAAGGGTGTCCACGAGAAGAGTCAAACTCTGTACAGTAATTGAAGAGATTTATCCTGAACCAAATATGAGTGACCATGGCCCGTGGCACTGCCTCAGGAGGTCCTGGTGACATGTGTCCGAGGTGATCGGGACACAGTCTGGTTTTACACATTTGAAGGGTGACATGAGCCGTTAGTCAATATCTACATTGTACATTAATCAAGATGTACATTGGTTTCATCTGGAAAGGCAGGACAACTCGGTGTGGGCTTCCAGGCCGTAGGGAGGTCAGAGACAAACAGTTGCAATCTTTTAGGTCTTTGAACAGCGTTTCACTGAACACACAATTTCCATGCGAGGCGGGTAGAGAAATAGTCACTTATGACTCAGTGAATCTGCATTTTTACATAAATAGGGCAGAGGAAGCCATCAGATCTGCATTTGTCTCAGATGGGCAGCGGGATGACTTTGATGCGTTCTGCCTGCCCATTGTCCCGCACCTGCGAAGGTAAGCTATCAATTTACGTTGCCAGGGTGAAATTCAACAGAACTGTTTTAGGGCAAAGATCTTGAAGCCCAAGAAGAGTTTCTTTGTGGGGAAATTGTGAGGGAGGATGTAGCCTTCCAAATTATCTTTGTCGCTATCTTATTCAGGAATAAAATGGGAGGCAGGTTGGCCTGACATACTTTGGCTTAGTGATTTTGGGGTCCTGAAGTTTATTTTCCTTTCCCAAGTACTTGTTACAATGTAGCAGGCTTCAGACTTGGAGATCTCACAACCCCAAGTAACATTCCATTAGAAACCACGGGACCGGTCACACAGCTGCTGTGGACTACAAGCTCGCATCACTGGCAGCTCAAAATAGAAAGTGTCAGACACCCCCCACCTTGGGGGACCTCTGTTTCAGATCTCAGGTAACTCTTCACCTTGAAGACATTCAGCTTAATCAAAATCTTTTCTGACCCTTTGTGCCAGCCTTCCTGGGCGAGGGGGCT